AAGAAAGGGAGTTATTTACTTGAGGAAACTAATCACTGTTCACTCTCTGAAAGCATTACTCTCCTCCATACGCAATGGGACTCATCTCTCTATCTTCTATATTACCATAGTACAGAAAGATGCCCATATAAACTCCTAACAAATGGAAAGATCCTGTATATGCTACATGAAAATATTAATTCTAGCTACATATAGACAGACAAACCCTTCCAAACATTTTATAACCTGCAATCTGTCAATTCGTCAATTGGCAATGTTGGCCCTACCTCTTGAATGCCCAAGCCCAAGCTATTGCTTCTCAAATGCTGGCTACACACACAAGGTGCTGGTTGCACACAAAGGATAAGAAAGACGTTTTCTCTGTTCCAAATAAATAGATTCTCAGAAACAAAACAAGCACAGGAAACATAATTAGCAAAGCCAGGGTGGGAAATGAAGAAGGAACACCAGTGCCCTGGGATAAACACAACTCAGGGAAAGACCGAGAAGATGGAGGCCAGCACAGCTCATAAAGCTAGCTCCTTCCTTCTCCACACGCCAGGTGTGTGAGATCCTACAAAGTCTTTACAGAAGCTAAGGGGCCTCCCAAAGAATTGTTCTATACCTCACAGCAGCTTACACCTCATGACTTCCTGCCACTAGGAGTCAAGGTGAATCCTTCCAAAGCGGCCTGAGTGCCTGCTCCACCACACTGGGCTCCTGCCTTTCCTGGCTCTCCTGAGAACTCAGACTACAGAAGCTTCGCCTTCATTTACACACCAAACACTGACTCTCACTCCTGTCCCAAATCCCTTCCTTCTGAGAGCCCTGTCAGTGGGATGGATCCTGGATGACTCCCCTTCCCTGTAGATTCAGATCAACCATGAAGCCACTCTTCTGCCTCCTGGCCACGGGGCCCCACAGAAGACATCTAAATCTTTCTTGGCAGAAGAAACCCTGGAGTCTGACTCTGAGTAACGCTGAGAATTAAGAGCTTGGGACTCTTGGCAAAGGTACTGTGTGTGTCTCACATCATGAAATAAGCAGTTCGGAGGCCAGGAGCAGAGCACTACAGTTTGGATTAAACGACTTTCAAGGGCCCATATACTGAAGCAAGGAGTCTAGGAAGCAAGGCCGGGCAGAAGATCCTTAGGTCGTTTCCAGAGTGGCCCAGAAGAGGACTATGGAACTCTAGTCCCCCTTTGTTTTCTCTCCTCTCTGGTCATAAGTTGCGTGGCTTTACTTCACTACAGTCTGTCACACTGTGCCGCCTCACCACAGGCCCAAAGCAACCAGAGCAATCGATCATGGGCTGGAACTTTCCAAAACTGAGAGCTAAAATACATTTGTTTTAATTTATTTATTTCCAGACAGCCATGAATCAGGATGCTTCAGAGGAGCAAAAGACAATGCAAACACTCATCCAGAAGTGTGGGCAGAGAAGCACCCCATCCCAAGAGCCACATCACAGCTGCACAGTAAAGATAAAGGACAAGCTACCACACGGGGCTATGGAAAGGATACCCCCTCTAATCACACAGCTGCTCTACTCATGTCCAACTTCACTATCTAGAGGACCAACAATGGTCCTTCACAGGTTGGGTGGAACACAGAAATCTATGGTCACAAGAAGCACCAGGGATCCTAGAATACATCATCAGACCTATCACAAATGTCTGTGTGGCTTTGACAATCTTTACTTCACAAACAAATTCCTTGCAGAAATCTTGGAGAATAGCCAAACACCAAGTGACCAACAGGACTTATGTGACTCTGTACTATCTGCACCACTGCCATACTTACTGTCCCAATGCAGTCAGCTCACTTAGGGAGCATTGCACGCCCCACATATGGTCAGTTCTTTTCGACTAACCTTTTTAGGCGCCCTTGATCTTAGCACCCTCTAGTGCTGAGCCTGCACCTCCATCATTAAGTGCAAATTCCTTAAGTACAACTTCTTGTGTTTCCAATCAAGTTTGAATCCCGTCTCTGCATCTTAGATGACAGATCTCTGAATGCCAAGCTGTAGCAGTTGTCCTTTAAATCTTAAACGTCTATTCCTAAATCAGTCTTCATTTAACCTTCAATCTTTTCTAGCCCATCATCATAAGATTCTCTGAATGTGCAAACCTGCCACATTTTTATGTAATCACCCAGAATAATTCAACGGCTTACAAATCTTTCTGCTCTGTCTACTATTACTGGATTAAGGGTTACATGGAATCAACCTTCACTATCTAATCCAAAGGCCTATGGCAAAGCTCTGTACACCCTGAGATTGCTCAATAAACACCGGTTAGCAGCCTGGCTTCTGACTGACGCTAGAGCTGGCCTGTGATGGGTTATCTGTTACTGAGAACACTGTGCTGTTTCTTCAGAATTTTTCTGTTGTTTCTGGGAGTTAGATGAATTTTTTTTATTATTATTAAGAAAAGTAGTTGAGAAAAAGATCCCCCAAGCAGCAGACACTAGCAACACTGAAATTAACAACTGAACTCTTTTTCCAAACAAGCAGTTCTCACGAGGACAATGCTACTCAGACATTATCATCATGTGGGGAGCCTAAAACAGCCACTTTACGGCTCACGCCTTTAGCAATGAAGTCAAGTTCAATGTGGTGCCCGCGCAGCATGATTCAGCAACAAGTGTTTGATGAAATTCTTCAACTTGGGAGACATGAGCCATAAATTTCTCATGATGGTTCTGGGTAGATAAATGGATCTGACTCCAATGCATAGTGTAGTTTTATGAGCAAACTGTGGTTTGACTAATTCTGACATGGTAGCAAACCTGCTAAACAGCCCCGCCCAGCCCAAGATAGGAGGATATGCTAATATCTACATTATTTACTTTCGGACACATGACTTTTTTTTTTTCAATTCAAAATAATGATACTCAAAGAAAAAAAAAGTTACCTCTTCTTGGTGTCCTGATGACTACAGAAACAATTTGGCATTTGTCTGATCTTGGTTCAGGTAGGATTTGAATTTAAAAAAAGAAGTTCATGATCTAGAGAGCATAAGGAGCCTCAAAGCCACATGTTAAATAGAGCTAGACTGGAAAAGACTAGAAACTGCATGTATGATTCCATCGGCAAGCATTTAGCATTTCCCTACAACAACCAGAGGGACAAGAATCAGGTCTGTGAAAACCAAAGACCAAGGTGGGAATGGCAAGTCTGCAAAAGGGCAGAAAGAATCATGGAGGCAATAAAAGTCTGTGGCCATGGCAACAGCAGTAATCCAACTACACAGGCTGTACGAAATTCAGAACTTCATTTCCGAACCCCACCACTAACTGGGTAGTGTGTCCCCTGTTGGGTGCAGCACACCTCAGTGGGTGACCTCTGTCCTAGTCAGGGTGACTATGGCTGTGATGGTGCACCCTGACCCAAGCCAGCGGGGGAGGAAGCTTCAAAATCAGGGTTCACCACTGAAGGAAGTCGGGAAAGGAACTCATTCAGGGCAGGGGCCTGGAGGCTGCAGAGGCCATGGAGGGGAGCTGCTTACCGGCTTATTCCCCATGGCTTGCTCAGCCTGCTTTCTTACAGAACCCAGGACCAGCAGCCCAGGGATGGCCCCACCCGCCATAGGCTGGGCTATCCCCCACCAGGTTTGGCTACAGCCCTATCTCATGGAGGCATTTTCTTGATTGAGGCTCCCTCCTCAGTTGACTTCACTTTGTGTCAAGCTGACATAAAAGTATCCAGCACAGTCCCACAACATGAGGATAGGGTTAGCAAAACTGAACTCGGTGGATTACTTGAAAGACAGGAGGAGATAAAGCTGGAAGGAGGAGGCAGGTTCTAGAGAGTTCAGGGCTGTGGGGTAAACATGACCAATACGGTGTGCATGTATAAAAGTCTCAAGGAATAAAAATACACCTTAAGAGATTTCAGATTTTACTTCGATAAAGATATATGTGTGTCCGTATGTGAGCTAAAGATCAACCCAGAGCCTTGTGCATCCCAGCCTTTACCACCGAGCTAATCCCAGCCCCAAAGATCATGTAATAAGATACCACAAGAATAAGAAAACCATCTTTAAGGTACGTGAACCAATGTGGTAAGAATTAGCTTTCCAACTGCTGATTCTTCCAAAGGTTTGTATGAGCTGAAATGAATTGTGTCCCTGAAAAGCTCTAGCACCCGGAACCATGGGATGTAACACTTAAAAAAATGAAAGGTCTTGAAGGAGATGGTGAGGCTATTAAAACTAAGCTTGGGCATGTGCACAGACAGACAGACACACAAACACACATACACACACTGTTGTGACCATGACTTAAATCCTTATATATAATAATAATTTTTTTTTTAAAAAGAGCAAACCTAAATACACAGACAACAGGGACATGTATACTCAGAGAAAAGTCATGGTGGGAAGATGCCATCTGCAAGCCAGGGGCACAGGCCTCAGCAAAACTAGTCCTGTCTCCCCCTGTGCTTGGCCTTCCAGCCTCCACACTGTGAGGATGCATCCCACCTCAGTCATCTGCCCTGTGGTATTCTGTGTGATAGCAGATCTAACAAGCAAATGTGATTCCATTTTAACCATGGCCGTGTTTAAACATAAAGAAGAAATATGTGACATTCTCCCATATTTGCATGGGGGAAAATGAAGGAACCCACACTGCCATAACAAAGGAATAACTGACCCTGCTATCTAGAAAGACGACTATTTACGCTGTAACGTGTAAGCATGCGCCGAGTGCTGCAGAGGTCTGCGGTGTTACACACCTCCAGACCTCCAGACCTCCCGACTGTTTACACTGTAGCGTGTAAGCATGGGCCTAGTGCTGCTGTGGTCTGCGGTGTTACACACCTCCGGACCTCCAGACTGTTTACACTGTAGCGTGTAAGCATGCGCCGAGTGCTGCCGTGGTCTGCAGTGTTACACACCTCCGGACCTCCAGACTGTTTACACTGTAGCGTGTAAGCATGCGCCGAGTGCTGCCGTGGTCTGCGGTGTTACATACCTACAGTTTCCAGGACTAAAGCTACGAGTGAGCATGACTGTTACCTCGTGTCTCAACAGCACTGATGCACTTTCTGAGAATCGTGAATCCCATCGTATCCAGCTGTGCACCTAAAAGGAACAGGCGTAAAATGTTACAGGATGAGTAGTTACTGTTTCTTTCCCTTTTAAAATAAAGAAAACAAATTTAAGGTAATGGCACTTTTGCTTCATAGTCTGAAAACTGCTGAAGGCTGTGCATTGCCCATAGAAATGGCATCACTGGAAAATGTATTTGTTTGTAGGAGCCTCCATGCTGAAAATCAAGATGTCCAATTTTTATAATTCAACTTGCAATATAAAATATGTTAAGTTAATAAATACAGAATATTTTAAACAGTTAAAAAAATACCAATCTCTAAAGGAGGCTACATAGAAATAATCTCCATATTTTGCCAAAACTCCTAGAAGTAGCTCAGTTAGAGAAAACTCGAAATACGAATGAAGGCTTTTCAATGTGAATCTGAGCTTCTGATTAACAAGGGAAAGTTTCTGTTAAATGCTTCCTGGCCAATGAGCGTTCTGATAATTTTCACTGGACATCAAGCTTTTTTAATGCTTTTATTATTTTCATAATTTGAATTTAAAATAGATGATTCATGTGATCTATTCAGAGGCCAATTTGAAAATGCAATTTTATTCTTTTTCTAGTACAAATGTTTGCTTATGACCAAGCTGGCATATATTTGTAGATTTTGCGTTAACACAAAGTCTGTTTTTCGAGACAGACTTTCTCTGTAGCCCTGGTTGTTCTGGAACTCTCTCTGGAGACCAGGTTGTCTCAAACTCAGAGATCCACCTGCCTCTCCCTCCTGGGAGCTGGAATTAAAGGGATGAGGCACCACTGCCCAGCTTTCAAGTGAATTTTAATGGTTAAAATTGAACAGCTGTGTCCAGAATCCACTACTGATAACACTTTATAAAACACAAGTTATCTCTTCTTGCTTTGCAAACCATTCCCAGGGGGTTTATTTACAGTTCTTTAGGATGAACAAGAAAGGACAGAGACAAAGGGGAAAGGCCAGAAGGAGGGACACAGCGAAGAGGGCCTGGAGGACACCAGTCCAGGAAAGAGGAAGAACACGCTCCCCTGCAGGGGCACCTGTCAACGTCCAGTACCAGGCTATAGATCTGTAGTCTTCGAATCGAGAATTAGCAGAACTGATCACAACTGTTTCTATTACACAGCCTATGGCTTTGCTAAGTGCAGTCTTAATTCCACCAAATCTACCAAAAGTGAGTACAAAGCGAGTGTGCCACACTGTGCAGTTTTTGTCTCCTATCGGTACTCCGAGTACACAGGTGGGGAACACTTTGTTTTCCCTGGTGCGGATCCTTGCCATGCAGTACGTGAACAGCTCAGCCACAGCTATTTTCCAACGTTTAAGAGAATATGCCGTATATAGCAAACATTCAGAGGCTGCAAGACTAGAAGCTGTTAAGGGCTGACAGGAATACCTGGGTTGTCAAAAGTAAACCAAAGCAAGAAAATTAAAGCCATAGGTTTATGAAAGAAGAGTTCTCAGTCCTGACTGCCTGCCAGAATCACAAGACTGCCAGAAACGCCATCCGGCACAGAACCACAGTCCAAAGGACCACAGCCTCCACAGAACCACGGCCTCCACAGAACCACGGTCTCCACAGAACCACGGCCTCCACAGAACCACGGCCTCCACAGAACCACGGCCTGCACAGAACCACGGGCTGCACAGAAACACTGCTGTATATAATAAGTGCTCACATAAGAAAATCTGCCCAGTAACTAGGGGTTCACCATCCAGCTGGGGCCACTCTTATTATGTATTACTCACTGTGGCCAAGGATTACTGTTTCAAATATCTGAAGTAATTCTTACGTTCATCTTAACATTTCTCTCCCTTTCTCTTGCTCACTTAACATGGCTGCCGTGCACTACAGCATTAGGACCTTTGCAGCACCCAGCTCCTCTCAACCAAACATCACCATGTTCCAGGACTCCATCATTTCTACTGAGAGTGACAAGCGGCAGGATGAGGAGGCCTGGAAGCAGAGGGCCAAGGAGTAGCCTCTTCCACAGGCTCCTGAAGCTTCCATCAGAAGCTTTCTCAATGCCATTCAGGACTGTAGACCTAAACTACGAAAAGACCAGAGGGGAGCTCACAGTAATGCTCGGGTGGGCAATGAGGGCTGCCCGTGAGCTTTAAAAAGGTACAGACTGCGCCATAGCAACAGCTTGGGGTTGGTGACTATCAGGAGAAATAAACACTTACCTCCTTCTGGTCTTGGAATGATGGTTTTATTACAAGTATGGATGAGCTAGTAAAACAAAGAAAGAGAGACCACTTTCAGCAAATCAAGTCAAGGAAGAACATGTAAATTTTCAATTTTACCAACTCAATATTAGATAATGTAGCACATGAAATACACATTTGGTCTCCACCTCTGCTTTAGAGAACAGAGTTCCTGCACACCCGGAACCTCCTGACAGAAATGTTTTGCTATTCAGGAGCCCTTTGAGACAGCTCTAAATTTATGCTAAATAAGCAGCTTGGGAAACGAAACGTGTGCAGCATAAGTCCACGGGAGAAAAAACTTCACATTGGGCCTCATCCCCTGACTCTGTAGGATCCCACGCCCGCCGAGAGTGCATCCCACGCTGGGGTGGTGGCCCTCCTGCAGGGGCATGGCATTCTTCACCACCCACCCGCACTGCACACCCAGCCCTATGCACGGCTTCAGCATGCCCGCTCTGGGGTTGTGTTCACCAATTACCACACCCAGGTTATACCACAGTGTGCTGCGAAGACCAGGACTTGTCACTGGCAGAACTGAAACAGAGGTGACCTAGATGCAAATGCCCAACTTGTAAGATCTGCCACCAACACTCCAGACAGCAGTGCCAGAGTTGAAGTAAGTTAGGACAGCCAGCTTAAGTCAGAACTAGTCAGTGTGGGGAAGCCCTGTGTGGAGTCTGCACGAGACTGCAGGGGCGCTGTGCTGTCCGTGGCTAATGACGTGCTCCTGTGCATGCATATGCAGAAGCAACGCATGCAGGGCTTTTCTCGGTTTGCTTCTCTCTAAAGAAGCATGCCAGACTGACAGACAAACAAACAAACAAACAAACAAAAAGACGGCAGGGTCTGCAGTCCTTAAGGAACTTGGTACAAGTCTGTGTAAACGGGAAACTCTCCACCTTACACAGGTTGACTAACTGATACATTCCAACCAATGATATCTAGCTCACTGTTTCCTGACTGCTCCTGAATTTCACAAGAGTAGGAGATAATCCATGCCCATGTTTAAGCAAATAAATCCACGCTAGCGTGGCAGTCATCCGGCTTCTCAGAGTCCTAGCACTAACTACTTGCAAGGCATACAACATCCATCAATGTATGCTACACGTTACAGTCCCCATACAATGTATCACTGAACAGTCTTCCCACAGTCCTGCTGTGGTCTGGTAGGGGAAGCCAACCTGATCATGATCTCATGACTACACCAAACTGGAAGCCCATTTATCTCAAAGACTCAACCATGGATACTCGTGCTACGGAAGCTCACTGTCTACAGCACTTCTGGGAAGATCACCACGGCTAATAAAGTGTCTTTACCACAGAGGATAAAGGAACAGCCTAACTACATCCCAATACTACCAAAACTCTTTTAATTTTGGAGAGAGGATCATTCTCTGTAGCCCCAGCTGTCCCAAAACTCTTTATATAAGTCAGGCTGGCCTGTAACTCAGAGATCCGCCTGTCTCTGCCTCCCAAGTATTGGGATTAAAGGAATGTACCACCATGCCTGGCTTCAAAACTCTTTTAAACATATATACATATATGTTAATTATATATCTGCGTGTAGGTATGTGTCTCGGTCTGTGGAAGCCAGACGCATTTGACCCTCTGCAGCTGGAGTTGCAGGCGGTTACCAGCAGCTCAGCATGAGTGCTGGGACCTTTGCTGGTCCTTTGCTGCAGAGCAGTGAGCACTCCCAACCACTGAAGCACCTGCCCAGGCCTCCATCAAAACTCCAGCTAAAACTCTAAGAACTAATTAAGTATGAACAGAACGAGAGGTGTGGACAGTCCAACAAAAGAACACTTGCTCAGCACAGTGAGACCCTGAATTCCAGACTTAGTACAAAAATAAAAAAGTCAGAAACAAAAAGATGGAGCCTGATTCGGGCTCAGATATGGTCATTCTGACAGGGTGAAACAGTCTCTTTAGAACACAGCAGCTAGGCTGTCATTCTCAGACACACTACCAAGTGGCCTCTCATTCCCTGTACTTCTGAGAACACATTTTGCAGCTGGGCTCAGAGCCAGCCTAAGCAGCACTGCGTTAGCCCCTAAGGAGGCTCTGTTCTGAAGCCTCTTCCTTACTGAACCCCTCTTCCATCTTCAAATCACCTTCTACCCTAAATCTCCAAAATCGTCTGGTGCTTCCTGCTTACTTTGAATCCTAACACTTTACATGTTATGCTGAATGTCAATCTGTGTTTTTTTCCTAAAGTTGTCTCCGCTAAACCCCCAACTCGGTACATGACCTGTCAATTCTGAGCCCCAAATGCCAGCAGCACACAGAAAATAAAGCAGTGCTGGAACCAAGTGCCAATAGAGGTCAGGTTCCCTGGGACCCATGTTGTACCCTTTAGTCCATTCCTTGAAACTGTAGCCATACAGAGGCCCAGTCTCTAAGGTTACTCGATGTTGCAAAGCAAAACCATCGTATTAAGTATCAAGCCCATGTGGGGAGTGGTCGGTAATGCTGCCATGTACTTACTATCCCCTCTGAAATACACAGCAAGCATTTAATGTACTTGCCACCCCCCAAAAAACATCTGGTAAAACTGGTAAAATAGAAATTGAAAGTTTTGCTGGCTTCAAAGCAAAGTCAATTAGAACGGTAAAGTTAAGGAAGGTCAGAACTGAATTCGAACAATGTCCCAGCCATGGGTGTTCTGCATCTGCCCCAAGCTAATCTACTAGAGAGTTGCATGGCTTCCAGATGAGTTTAAACACCAGTTCCAGCAAAGAGCTGTTCTCAAATGCTATAAAACAAAAATAGCTTAGAAATGAGCCAAGTCGGCTGTCCGGGATTTGAAATAAAGCTCTGATGTTCTTACAGCTTCTTTTCCACCCAGAGCCTCCAGCCACTGTTTCCTTTCTTCCTCTGAAAACGCCTGCATGGTCAAGGGGACGCCAGGCCTGGAAGACAACAGGAAAACATCAGGTCACCCGACGTCAACACAAAACCCCCTCTTCTGGTTCCAGACACTTGACACAGGGTTTAAATGTTTTCATTAATTTCAACTACAATAAAAAAAAATAATGTAAAATCTGTTATCTAGACAATTTTTATACATGAACACATTATTGCAAAAACACTCCTAGGAATCCCCTCCAGAACACAAGGTGGGGTGTCCTTTCTATGGAGTTCAAACCGGTCTTGAATTCAATATATTGCTATCCCTGCCACCTGAGTGCTGGGATTACAGGTATATGCGACCCTGCTGTGCCAGGCCACAAGATCTTTTGATCCTGCAAAACTAAGTCTCTGTATGCCACCACTGATTTCCTGCCTACTGCTTCGCACCCCGGGGCAACTTCCACAGTATACATACACGTCTGTCTACTCTATAAATCGGGTTAATCTGAGTGCTGCAGGAAAGGAAATCACATCCTATTCATAGTTTCTGTCCAGTTTTTTTTTTTCACTTACACAAGGGTCATCCAAGTCACAACGTAAGTCGAATCTTCTTCCTTTCTAAGGTTCATACTTTATTATACATATTGCATATGATGTTCACAACCCTAATTTTTATCAAGGATATATAAATTAATACATAATCATAACACTTAATACATAATCATAACACACCTAGGAGAACGGCCAGAGTTGAAGCACTACGAACACCAACTAGTGGTGAGGATGTGGAACAAAGGAATGCTTACCCAGCACTAACCATGACGGAAGCTGGTGCAACAACCTAAGCCAGCTTGGTGGCTTCCTACAGATACGAACACTCTCTTGCCATTAGGAACCAGCCAGACAATTCTTAGTATATTCTGTATACAGAGTTATCAAGATTTATGTCCCATAGAAACCTGCACAAGATTTATTCACATCTGTTCCACGTGGGAAGTCATCAAGACATGCTTCAGTGGCTTAGGGTACAGCCACACAGTGGCTTCCTCGGTACTAAGAGAAACACACCATCAAGACACAAAAAGGCGCAGCAAGTTCATTATTACTTCTGACAGAAGTCCACAGGAGAGCACCACATGGTTTGCAGTTTCAAGATCAAACCTGGAAAAGGCTGAACTACAGCAGCAATTAAAACATCACCAGACACACTAGAGGGCAGTACAGAACGGACGCACACAAAGGAAAAGATCGGGCATCAGAAAACTCCAGAAGAGTTTCCGCACACTAGGGTCAACAGCATCACAAGTGAGAAACCTGCTGCTCCGGGGATCTTCCAAAGAGAGATGAGTCACTGGCAAGAGCCAACAGCAAATTCTCAGCCCAGAGCCAGGCAGTGGTGCTGCACACTTTTAATCCCAGCACTTGAAAGGGAGAGGCAGGCAGATCTCTGTGAGTTCGAGGCCAGTCTGGTCTACAAGAGCTAGTTCCAGGACAGGCTCCGAAACTACAGAAAATCCCTTTCTCAAAAAAACAAAACAAAACAAAACAAATTCTCAGCCCACAGCAGCAACTCCATAAACTAAAAAAATCTGTGAGTTCTAGAAATAAAGCACAAATAATGAAAAAAATGAAGTTTAGTGGCTGTATAGGACAATAAGGCAAGTATAAGGATATTTAAGTAAATTAAAATATTAAAGCAAGGTTCACACCCTAGACATCGCCCAAGGAAACAGCACTGCAGGCTGCAGAAGCTACGGTGACAACATTGAGTCAAGAGTCAGGACTGAAGCAGAGGTCAATCGTGGGTCAGAGCCGGTTTACTGGCTGACCTGAGGACACAACTGCTCTTACTGAACAATTCTCTCCAATGACCACGCACTACACCCGAGCTCCACTCCTCCATCACACTGATGCTTGGTAAATACTAAGGCAACAGAACCAATTTTATAAAAGAGAAAATGAATCAGCTAAAAGAGAACACGCTGTCAAGACATTATTCATTCTCTACTTTGACCCACTGTGACGGAAAACAAGGTTGGAACTGTGAGGACACACACACAGACACACATGCACGCACAACCTGAACAAGAGCCTGCACTTAAACATCTCCACCTATTCCCATCACACACTCAGCAAGGAGCCGCAGCAGTACAAGTGTGCAGCCTGCACAGCAGCCGAGACCTGCTCACATCCATAAGGACAGTATGGCACGAGTGTGCACCGGTTCTCCCGCAGGCCCTGGTGTGAGAAGTGGTCTAAGAAAGCTAGGACTTACTGTGTGATGGTGATATCGACTGACAATTTGACAAGGTCTACAGACACCAAAGAAAAGAGTCTCTGGACATGCCTGTGAAGGATTACTATTCTTGGCCTGAGTTGGGAACTAAATACTACTAGCACTATTCCCAGGGCTGGGCCTGGTGGCGCACGCCTTTAATCCCAGCACTCGGGAGGCACAGGCAGGCGGATCTCTGAGTTCGAGGCCAGCCTGGTCTGCAGAGCGAGTTCCAGGGCTACACGGGAAAACCCTGGTTAAAAAAGAACACAAGCTGTTAAGGACTGGATCCCTGGCTGCTAGGTTCCGCTGCTGCCGGTGCCAATAAGCCAAATCAAATTGAATTAATAAATCCAGGTTTAACGAACAAAGCAAAGCAAACTCCTGGGTGACCCTTGGGAAGGCAGGGGAGGAATCACATGGCAAGTAACGAGAGTGTTGCAGTTTGGATTACAAAGAGAGCTTACAAACTATGAATGATTTTCAGAAATTATTGGGAGATAGTAAATGACTGAGACCCTATTTAAAATTCCCTAGGGGAGATGTGAAGCCCCCCAGTGAGATTTGTAAGGGGAATAGTGATCCCAATTCCCCTGACATCTTACAGTACTAGCTCAGGTGGACTATGCAATAAAGAACCAGCAGTACATTCATTTCAAAATAATGATTCTTGGGCAATTGCATTTGCTCAATTTCTAGGCCAGTTGATTGATTGCTACAATTTGTGCAACTGCATTTCTTTATTTTTCCTAAAATTGTAATGCAAGATCCCTTAAAGGATGCTGTGTTAATTTTTAGATGGTTCTTCCAATGGAAGAGCAGCATGTGTTACTGACTGTAAAGGGTATGTGGTGAGCAGTTGAGCAGCGAGCTACTGTTGTGGTGCTCCAGCTTTCTGCAAACAGCGCATTTAATTTATATACCGGCAGTCATTACATTTTTAGAGCTCTGTAGGTCATAGAAACGGTCCTCCGCATTGGAATTAGTAATAGTAAAGTTAGAATATTGTTCCAGCAAATTCAAGATGCCATTCATCTAAGGAAACTGCCAAGCTTAGTGGGTCATATCAGAGCACACTCAAATCTTCCTGGTCCATTGGCTGAAGGTAATGTTTTAGTTAATAAATTGATTCAACTGATCACTTTATCTCAAGTTGAGCTTGAACAGCGATCACATCATCAAAATAGTGAAAGTTTAAGGAAACAGTTTGGTCTGACAAGAGAAATTGCTCATCAGATTATTAAGCAATGTGAGATAGGCCCACAATATTTACCTGTCCGTCATCTAGGAGTAAATCCTCCAGGCCTGCCTCCTAATCATTTATGGCAAAGGAATGTTAACCAGATTGCACAATCTGGAAAATTAAGATATGTGCACGTGACATATCTTATGATACATATTCAGGTTTCTCGACAGCCACTGCACAAACTGGAGAAGCCACCAAACACGTGATAACTCACTGCTTAAACTGTTTCTCATATATGGGAATTCCTAAAATTATAAAGATGGATAATGGCTCTGGATATATTAGTAAAACATTTCAGCAATTTTGTTCCTAGTGCAACAGTACTGAACCCTAAGTCTTCACATCATGCCCTTCTAATTCTTAGTTTCTCGAATGTGAATGTCCGTGAACTATGTGCCACTGACAGACTTTGGCATGATGGCACCAGAGCGACCTTCACCAAAGCAAAAGGGAAAAACCCTTGTACTGGATTATGGAAAGGATCCAATCATGTTTTAATATGGGTCGAAGGCATGTTTGCGTTTTTTCCACAGGAGAGGAATGAAGGTCTGTACAGACAGACAGGAAGTGAAACGGCTGGGCAGAGAAAGGAAGTGGTAAGGCAGGAGGAGACAGAAACTCAGTCCCTTTTTGGCTGGAAAGTGGAGAGGTAAGATGGTGATGGAGGTGGGTCTTGTAATAATAAAGAAACTGCCTCGGCCCTCATAGGACAGAAAATTAGGTAGACGGAGTAGACAGAAGAGAATGCTGGGAAAAAGAAGCTTAGTAGAGGAGTCGCCATGATTCTCCAGCTCCAGACAGATGCAGGTTAAGATCCTCCCTGGTAAGCCAGCTCGTGGGCTACACAGAATATTAGAAATGGGTTAGAACAATATGTAAGAGCTAGCCAATAAGAAGCTGGAACTAGCCGGGCCAGGCAGTGTTTGAAAGAATACAGTTTCCTTGTAATTATTTC